TTACTAAGTTTTTGTCTTTGAGTGGTTTTCCACAACATGTAGTTTCCTTTTTTTTTGTTTTTGTTTTGTTTTTGTTTTTGTTTTTGTTTTTTTTGTTTTGTTTTTTGTTTTTCTAGACATGGTTTCTTCTGTGTAATAGCCCTACCTGTCCTGGAACTCATTCTGTAGACTAGGCTGGCCTCGAACTCACAGAGATCCACTTGCCTCTGCCTCCTGAGTGCTGGGACTAAAGCCACCACTGCCTGATGTTTCTTTCTTTTTTTAAATTATTTAAAGGCACTTTTGCTGAATTCATATTTTGGCTATTACAGAGGGGCTGTAAACATTAGTGTGTGGGTTTTCATGGAAACATACATTTTCATCTCAGAATGGTAAATACCCTGGAACAAGATTGGCCATAGAATATCAGTGTGCAATGATTCCGAAGTGTTCCATTTGTTGATTGATATCAGTGTGCAATGATTCCGAAGTGTTCCATTTGTTGATTGATTGGTCTGTTCTCTGCCAACGGCACATTGTTTTGGCTGCTGTAACCTTAAAATCAGGTACAGTTGTGGTGATTCCTGTCCCTGTGTCCTTTCCACATACATTTTAAAATCAGTTTATCCATATACACAAACATACTGCTGGAATTTTGGTTGAAATTGCTTGTAACCATTTTGGCAAGAGCTACAGTCTCTTTCCTCTATGGAGCTATAGGTTCTAACCACCTAAGTTCACAGAGCACAGTGTAAACTGGATTTGTTTACAGGGCCGTTGGAGAGATGGTGCAGCCAGCTTAGAGCACTTGCTACTCTTGTAGAGTATCTGTGTTGGGTTCCTAGCATCCACACAGCAGCTCACAATGGTCTGTAACTCCAGTTCCAGAGGGACTTGACGCCCTCTTCTGGCCTCAGGCAGGAACAGGCACCCCCGTAGTATACACACATGCATACAGACATACACTCATACACATAAAACAAAAATAAATAAATCTCATAAAAATTGCCTACAGGAAGTAAGAGTGGCAGTAGTAATTGCTGTTTTGTGTTTTTCTTTTGCCAGATGGTCAGTCATGTGTAGCTAAAGAGCTAGAAGAGAGGCTGAAGAGAACAAAGTTTATTTATTTATTTATTTTTTTGGAAGGACCTAGTATTCCAAGTAGAGCCACGTGTAAAAGACACCAAGATGAAGTAGTCAAAAAGAAGGCAGAGACAAAGGGAATATTTAGGTCACTGTCACCGAGTATTCTTTGGGAAGGCAGGACAAGGCAGAGCTGGGTAAAGGGTTCAGGATTGACTTGTTTGAACTATTTCCATAAGCCCCAACTGAGGGGTGGATTTCAGTTGCCAGGCATTTGATCCTGGCATGGCTGACGTGGAGGAGTGTACACAACAAGTGCATCTGTGGAGTACATATAAAGACCTGCCCACAACTGAGCCCTTCTGTCTCTACGACTGCTGATCCTCTGGAAAGAGCATACTTCCCCTAGTCATAAAGGTCATAGGCAGTGTGTGTGTGTGTGTGTGTGTGTGTGTGTGTGTGTGTGTGTGCAAGAAACCTGGGACTAGAATACAGGGCTGTATATATATATATATGTGTGTGTGTGTCTGTGTGTCTCTGTGTGTGTGTGTGTGTGTGTGTATATATATATATATATATATATATATATATATATATGTTTCATATATATATGAAACATATGGAGCAAGTGATTTTTCCTCTTTCCTCCCTCTATATCACGCATGCAAATAAGTAAAGTATTGAAAAAAAAACCCAGACTGTCCTTCCTGATTCTAATACAAATAGTGACTAGTTATACAGGATATATGTAATACTCATGCCATACATGAAGATGAGTGAGTACTGGGGCAAAAAAATAAGTAGGTTTGAAATTTGACTTATTAGTCATGTGACCTTAGGGAAGTCAATTATTTAGAGTTTTTGTTTTCTCAGTTATGAAAAGGAGATAATGGTTATTATAATAAAAAAATAGGTAAGCTCAGTGTGGTGGCATAACCTTTAATCTCAGTACTCCTGCAGAAGAGGCAGGTGGATCTCTGTGAGTTCAAGGCCAACCTGATCTACATAGTGAGTTCCAAGACAGCCAGAGCTACAAAATGAGACCTTGTCTCAAAACAACAAAAACAAAACAGAAGGAAACAAAAACCTAGGAAGTTTGAATTAGATATATTTGAATACTCAGCCCAATGATTTACACATATTTGATATTTTTGTAATTATTTATATAAGTCCTTTTTATCTGTTAAATATAATTCACTTTATTCCCACACCCCACACACACCTTGTATAACTAAAGTTTGAGAACTTCAAACAAGGCTTGCCTTTATATGGCCTTTCTGTGGACATTGATAATAATTTTATCACTGGCCTAATAATATCACTTGATATTAATTTTATCACCGGCCTTCCATGGGCCCTTGGACTCTATTCTAGCATCCCTAAGATATACCTTTTGATACTCAAATGTCTAACTGGCCTTGTGAAAATGTCAACTTTCCTTTGAGGTCAGTGGCAAAGCTGGGCACCAGATTCTAGTGGTACATGGATCACCGATGGGACTTTTTCTCTCCCAGCATAAATCTACACTGGGGCTGTCACAGAAGAGGAGCAAGTGGCAATGTCAGACTGGGGTCGATTTTACTCAAGACCTAAAATAAGTTTTCCAGTGTCTGGGTGGCCTTTCTGAAAACTCGGCTGCTCAGCCTGAGGTAAAGGAAGTGGCATTGCTTTGGTTTGCCCACTCCCACCAACCTGTGTGTCGAGAGAAATTTTCACCCTCAGAAAACACCCTGAATGTCATATTAAACCTAGGGCAGATGATGCAGGGGGAGGTAGAGAGATGCCTGAAACTAACGGAAGGGCAGAGGCACATCTCAAACTTATCTAGGGTCATATTTGGAAGGGAGGAAGGCGCTGACATAAGGCAGTGATAAATGATGGGAGTTTGAAGTCTGATGCCAGATAAATTTGGGTGTGACTCTTGGCATCGAGCATGTCACCTTACTCCTCTGAATGAACTTAGTTTCCACATCAAAATGCTGGAAAAATCACAGTGCCTGTTTAGAAATTTGCTATCAGACTTAAGTGAGAGTTCATGGAAAGCAGTTAATTTGATACTTTCCTGAAATGTATTAAGGGAACATCATTATCACTGAGGCCTTGGTGACGAAGAATAGCAGGAAGAAACAGATTAGCGGGGATGAAAAGTAGTCTGGGGCTTCTGGGCCATCGTATGGGTTGCACTTGAACATTTCTTGGTTGTCAGACTACTTTTGTGAGCTACAAGAGGAGCGCCAAATGTCTAGGTGCAGATGTGTTCAAACTTTTTCATGCTGTGATACAACATTGCCATCTGCAAAATTCTTCCTGGAAAACCACACCGCTGCATTAAAGAAACAGTTTAAAAAAGAACTGTCAGTATGTCTTAAGTTTATGACTTTTTGTTGTACCACACTCCTGGTTATACTAGGCACATGAAGCCCATAGCCCAAAGTTGGACATGCCTAGTAGGGTTCTTTTTACCCTATTGTACTAGGACTTGTGTGTGTGTGTGTGTGTGTGTGTGTGTGTGTGTGTGTGTGTGTTGCAAGGGGGGGGAGGGGACTCAGAAGTCATCAGCATCTCATTCAGCTGTGTCTTACTCAGCTAGTGCTTTTGCTGTTGTGTGTCTGAAAGGTACAGTTCAGTGATGGTTTGTTCATGACCCATCAAGTCATCTTTTTTGGGGGGGAGGAATACATTCCTTGCCTCTCTCTCAAGGAAGAACTATTTGCCCAGAATGATGAAAAAAAAAAAGCTGCTTAAAACCCTCCTCAGAGCCCTCACACTAAGGGTTTCTTCCTGAGTTAATTGTTCTTGCCTGAGGAAGGATGTGTAGTGTGCATTTTAAGAACTCTGATCTTGAGACCTGGAAACACTATCATTACTTGATGCTCCTCTTCTCTTCCCCCCATTCCTCGCCCCTCTTCGGTTAATGCTAGGGATGCAGTGCTTAATGTAAGCTAATCAAGTGCTCTACCATCAAGCTAAGACCCTTTAAGTGACAGAATCCCATATGTAAAATAGACCAGAACAAGCCTGTGGGTTTCCTTGTTTGCCCTCCACACCTTCTGTAGCAGCTACTAAAGGCATTCCGAGACAGCAGGGGAACAGTTTGTACCACACCACAGCCAGATCCTGTTAGTTTCTTTTCCTGTTGCTCACCGTTCCGTGTTCTAGTCCCTTGGTGTCGGAAAGTCAAGGCAGCAGATACCTGAGAGAATTTCTCACATTGCACCCACAGCCAAGAGCAAAGGGCATTAAGTTAATACATCTTGGCAAGGTGTGCACCACCAATGCCCAGCTAATACAAGCAATTTGGTTTCCCATCAGTTTTATCCAGCCTGGGATCCCGGGCCCAGCGAATGGTCCTGCTCAAAGTCACAGTGGGTCTTTCTACCTCAGCTAACCCAATTTTGATAGTCCATCACAGGCAGTCTCAAGTTACCATTAATCTAGATAGTTCCTCCCAAGTGTTCCTCGAATCTTGCCTCCTAGATGTCAAGTTGACAATGTGGACCTTCATAGATAGTTCCCTGGCTTGTACCACCACTTTCTGTCCATGTCTTGACAGGAAAGACTGACCATAGCTTGGTAAAAGAACAGCTGCATCCTAACAAACAGGCTTCTATAGTAACAAGCCCGTAGCGGTTACACTTCCCTTTTTCAAATGCTGCAGCAGTTAGAGCCATTGGTGGAGCTGACCGAATGTTTAGGAAACACAGACCTTGGTATGTAATAAACTGTTGTAACCAAAGTGTGTACAAGAAGTGTTTGGGGATTCTGAGGCAGGATGTGCTTCAGGTAATAAACACGATATATACTGATTTTCATGTACTTCGCATTTGGGTGAGCTCTTGGGCTATTTTACAAAGAGGGCTTACTTCTCCCACAGGGCCTAGCTCAACCTCAAGCATTTTCTTCTGTCTTGTGACCTGTTGATCTTCTTTCTCCCACAGGTTACAGATGCACATGTTGAATGGAGCTCTTCTGGCATTGCTGTTTCCTGTCGTAAATACCCGGCTGGTAAGTAGCCTCTTCTAGAAATGAATCATCAACATCTAAATCAAATCAATATACGCTTACTCTTTTGCTATCTGATGTTTCTCTTACGTCTTTGCCCTAACGGTCAAGTGATTTTAATTTGTGTATGTTAATGTTGATGTTTGACACCATCATGTCTGGAGTCAGTGGAGGATTGATGGAGCACGAGTAGTTTATTAGACTTAGGCTACAGCACAGGTTTAGATCAGAACTAGAAAAGCCAAAACTTGAATAAAAATTAATTCAAAAAAGAAAGCCCAAAACTTTATATAGAAATTGGAGAGGTTCTAGGGAAAGAAATGGATCCAGGACAGCATCCTTAGGCTGAGACTTCTAGACCTTTTAAGGAGGCACAGTGATATAGAATACCATGCTAGTGAGCCTCAAAGCAGGTCTATTTTTGCCAAGGACCCTCTTGAGCAAGCACACTTCTACATCCACTCAAATTCACAGGGCAGAGTGCATCACTTCCTCCATCTCCAACCAGAGGAGAAGCAGGAGTTACAAGACTGGAGGAATAGTGCACTGCCTACCCTCCTACATGCTACATGGGGGCTCTTCATAAACTAATGAGACATGTTTGAAAGTCCAGGAGACAAGACAGAGGTGGCACAGGCCTTTAATCCCAGCACGGGGGAGTCAGAGGCAGGCAGATCTCTGTGAGTTTGAAGCCAGCCTGGTCTACAGAATGAGTTCCAGGACAAGCTCTAGAACAATACAGAGAAACCCTGTCTTGAAAAACCAAAGAAAGAAAGTCGAGGGGAAATTACCTTTAAAGATGGGCAATATAGCTTTATGCTTTCATGACTTAACTCTGCCTCATAGATAAACATCATAGCTTAACCATTGAAGTGGAAATTCCTATTTTAGTGAATTTTGTAGTTTAGAAGGTCTTTTGATATGATAGGTTTTTTTTTTTTTTTTAAGATAGGCATATAGGACAAGTATTACAACCTCTCGCTTTATAGAGGAAGAAATTGACATTCAGGATGTCACCTGAATTGTAAGTGATAGTTAAGATCAGAGTTTGAGCTTCGCAATCCTAAAATCAGGTCACACACGGCTCCTTCTGAAGAATGCCCTCATCTTCTCTCCACAGACATTCCCCATACTGTAGGTTTTGCTAGTCTAGATTTATATAATATGGCAGTAGAAATTACAAGTTCATCTAAAGCAGTGATTTTGGAACCTTCTCCCTATGCTCCGGACCCATCAGATTATTCTGTTAGCCGGGCTGGGCTTTACCTCAGTGCTAGAATGTCTGCCTAGTTTATTAAAGGCACCGCCTCTCATCCCAAGCACCAAGAAACAAAGAAACAAGCAAATAGGAAGGCTTGCCAGGTCCCACAGCCAGGGTAATTGATTGGCAGGACAATAATCGCAGACCCTCAAGGGATCCCAAAGCAGGGCTCCTCAGACTGTTCCCAGAGACCCCTTATGTTAGACACATATAATTCAGTTACTCATAAGTGTGTAGTTCAAAGTGTGGCCTGAAAGTAAGCATCAACTGGGCGTTGCTTGTTAGAAATGTTGGGGTCCAGGCCCCACCACATGTTTACTGTATCTGAATCTACTAAGATGGTACCTTAAATAACCTAGACCCTTTCCTTCGAGGAGTCCAAAGCTTCTTTTACATGGACTATTTGGGCTGATGTGAAATGAGAGATGGCAGGCAGTGTTGTTTCTGATTTAATAGGTAGGTTCATTCTGATCACTGTTCCCTTGTGAGATGGTATGAGCTGGCACAGATTGCATCATAGGCACAATTGCCCTCAATTTCATGCCCCTCATAATATAATTTGCCTGAATTGACCTGCCAAATTGTAGATTCAGAACTCGTGCCCTCAAGTGTAGCTCAATGGGAGAACATGTCCTTTGGGTATCCAAAACCCTGGATTCTTTCCCCAGTACCAAACAAACAGCCACACCAAGACACCTCTCCTTGATCCTCAGAACAGAGGGCATTATGTATCACAGAATGTCGTGGGTAGCCCAAATTAACAGAATAAACCTGTACTTTAAAAAAAAAAAATAACTGATTTCGTATCCCATTGCTCTTCATGCCCGTGGCTCAGGACTGCGAAGCAGAAGTTGCTCTCTGCCTGTGGTAAGAACAGCTAAGGCTTGGGAAAGGACCCGCTGCTCTCTTGTCCAGTCTCGCTCCTCAGCTGACTCCAACTACCAGGAGGCTGAGAGGTCAGGTGACCAGAGAGCTGCTGCCTTAATTTTCCTCAGCTCTCTCAGCTACCAGGACAAGTACGGGGGGGGGGGGTGAGGGCACCTCAGAAAATCATTTCCTTTGCCTCATGGAGCCAATGATTCTGAGCTGGAAGGTGGCCAGCCCAGACTTCTTGCTAAACAGCTTGGGCCACTTGTGGGTCTGTTCCAGTGAAAAATCAAGGAACCGCTTCCTTGTAGAATACTGAGCACGTAGCAGAAATCAAGCAAATAGGAGAATGAAAGCCGCAGGGGGCTTGGCCTCACAAGGGCAGGGGGATCCAGGATGCCGGTGGTGAGGTTTTTCAGTGAGACACTATTGTTAATGGCAATTAAGTGTGCCTAACCCAGGTCTCCTGTTCTCCCCAGCTTGTTATCAGTAACCACAGGCAACCTCTGCTGCCGCTACGTGAGAGCCTATTTCGTGACAGGTGCTGCTGTAACTGTTTTGCATGAGTGGATTTAGTTTATCCTTACAGCTTCTGAGGCTGTGTTAATTATCATCTCCAAGGTCAAGATGCCAAAGTCAGAGGTTAAGAGCCCTGGCTGCTCTCCTGGAGGTTCTGAGTTCAGTCCCCAGCACCCACGTGGTGCCTCACAACCTTCTATAATGAGATCTGGTGCTGTCTTCTGGTGTAGGGGTTATAAGCAGACAGAACACTGCATACATAATAAATAAATAAATCTTTTTTTTTTTTAAAAAAGATGCCAGTAAGATTGGCTTCTTCAGGCCTCTTTGGCTTGAAGATGGCAGCCATCATATGTTTATTCTCATGATTTCTTGGTGTGGGCAACTATTCATGAAGACATCTATCACATTGGATCAGATCACATTCTAATAGCCTTCTTTCATCTTAATCTGTTCTTTAAATCCCTGTCTCCAAATATACTCCAGTTCCAAGGTACCCAGGGTTAGAACTTTGACATATAAACAGGGAGTTACAGAGGGCCTGGGGTTCATGATTCCTATACTGTCTTAAACAGATAACCTTGTTTCTTCTCTGCTACCCCTTGGTTGTTTCTTCTTCTTCTTCTTCTTCTTCTTCTTCTTCTTCTTCTTCTTCTTCTTCTTCTTCTTCTTCTTCTTCTTCTTCTCCTCCTCCTCCTCCTCCTCCTCTTCCTCCTCCTCCTCCTTCTTTTCTTCTTCTTCTTCTTCTTCTTGTTTTTTCTTTAGAAATGATCATTTTACATATCAACCTCCCATCCCTCTCCCTCTCATCCTCCCTTGCCCCCTACCAACACCCCCAACCCACCCCCACCCACTCCCCAAGGATAGTAGCCCTTCCATGGGGGTTCATCAACGTCTCTCTTACCACTTGGGGGATGGCCTAGGCCGTCCTCCGTGTCCCTGGGCTCAAAGGGTATCTGCCCATTCCTGCACTAGGAATAAATGCTGCTTCCACTGTCAGAGGTCCCATAGCCTGGCTTCTTTTCTCCATCCCTTTCCCCCTTCTCCTCTTCCTCCTTTTCTGTTGTTGTTTCCTCCCCCTATATCTTTTTTTCTCCTCCTTGTCATGGCATGGATTGGTTATAACAATGCACAGTGTCAAGCTGTAGTCAACCAGCTTATCAAGAACCTGTACCACTTTTCCTGCCGCCGAAACTTCTGAAGAAGAGAGTCCAGCCACCCTTTCTAAAATAAAGCTGAACACAGCTCAAGCCTCCTGCATTTGTCTGTGAAATCGGTATTGCCCTGGCTCTTTCATATAGCTGGGGCTCCTCTTGAGCACCTTTGGCCCTTGGGGCAGCCGGCTTTGCAGTGGTTAAGTTCAGATGGGCTTCAAAGGAGGCACAGGGTGGCTGGTACTTCTTGCTTAAACCTGATGGTCCAATTAGGCAGGAAAAGCAGCTTTAACTTCTCTCTTGCCTTTCCTTCTTGGACCTTTATCTTCTTAATCGTTTTTGCCCTCATTAGCAATAATGAAGAAGCAAGAAAAAGAACTGATTAGTGGTGTGTCCATACACAAAGGCAGGGTGAGAGGGAGGTGGAGGAGGTCACCTCAGTCAGCTAAAGGGCTTGAGGACCTCAGTGAATTTCCATGTGCACTCTCCTACCCTGTGACGGACTGCCAACAGGATTTGCAGGGCATCTAGTAAATGTCCTTCCACCTTCAGTTCTGTGGGTCTCTCCATCTTTAAAGCTAACAGCCCAGAAGAAGGACCTCTATCGCAGTGGACCAAGTTACAAGTAAGTGCCCCTTAGAGCTAGGGGATGTAGCTTGAGATGAGGCATCTTCAAGGCAGTTTGCAGTGGTGTGTCCTTTTGCTTGTCAAAGGCAAGCAGAGGAAGGGCATCATGGAACCACTGCTTGGATTAATCAGGTACTCAAAGTTTGTGTGATTTGACCTTATCTTCTGGTGGGGAGATTCCCTCCGTCCCTCCCTCTCTCCCTCCATCCCTCCGTTTCTCCCTCCCTCCCTCCTTCCTTCCTTCCTTTCTTTTTTTCTTTCTGCTGTCTCAGGCTTCTTTATATAAGAACAAGATAATGAGTGATTGGCTCATGATCAGTGGTATCACTAAACTTCATCTTCGCTTCAGCTACCTCCCACAACATTTCCTGTCCCCTGCCCTTCTGGGCTTCCAACCTCTCCTCAGGAACTGAAGAACTTAATTCCCAAACTGTGGTGGTGCAGGCTCGAGGTTCTCTTCATCTACCTCCTCCCCTTTCCCTCTGCTTCCCATGTGGGCAGGGCTAATACCTCAATCTGAATGTATGAGAGAGCCCAGAGCAGTGACAGGAATAGAGGGAAAGGCTTCATTCTTG